GGACAGGAGCTGGACACCGGGGTCAGCAGGGGGAGGGGCAGGGAGCAGGGTGACATGGAGGGAGGAGGGAGGGACAGAGCTCCCGGCCCCCGAGTCCMAGGGCGTCCAGCAGCTGCACCCTGACCAGGCCAGCCTCTGGCCGCCCGGTCCACCTTGCAGAGATGGAGGCCCCAGCCCCAGGGCCACCCGCAGCGAGGTCCCTCTCCTGGGGACTTGGAGGAGGGGTCAGGTGCTTCGGGAGGAAGCCGATAGCGCCCCCCTGTGGTCACTCCCGAGGGGACCGAATGATGGACTCGTCGGACATTTTTTGCAAAATATCAGAAAAAATATCTTTTTCTTCCAAAAAAAAAAAAAAAAGTAAAAAAATAGAAAATTTCTCGAGCGAGGGTCAGTACGCGGGCGACGGAGGACGGGAGGGAGCACTTCCGGACATCTCGGGGGGTGGACGCGTCCCTCCGTGCCCACSTGCGGCTCAGTTCACTTCTTGCACCGTCACGACGTCTTCCAGATCGTCTTTGCSGGCCGCTGCGGCCACGGCTGCCCAGTCCATCTGAGGTAAAGAAGCGGGGCGGTCAGCGTCCGATGTCCACGAGCCCCAGGGGAGGGACAGTTTGTCCTCTGATGAGGCTCTGGGATGCTTCAGTAGGACCTCGTGGTGGACACTTGAGGGCCACCGAGGGACGAGCGTACGAATGRGGCAACCCAGTGGACCCAACGGCACGTGCAAAGGCCCGGGGGCCAGAAGCGGCTTGGATCAGAGGTGGGCTGATCCTCCCTGTCCCTCTGTGTCTCTGTCCCCGTCTCCCTCTCCTGCTCCCATTTCCCCGATCCACTGCATAGACACAGAATCCACCTCCGTGCCATCCCCGTGGCCCCCTGGGAGGGGACAGAGCGTCCCGGGCTACCTGTCCCCCTGCGTTCCCTCCCGGGGGGACCCTCTGCCCCTCGCAGGCACCTGGTGGTCCACTGGATCGTTTGGGGYCACTTTGTCTTTGACCTGAGGGATCGGGGGGAAGAGTCTGCGCAGCCCGTGGAACCTGGGGACACAGAGAGGAAGGCGGAGAGGTGACGGGGACACAYCGCTTTCCCCACGGGCCCTCAGGACGCCTGTTGCTGGCTCCTCGGTCCACCTCTCCAGAGCAGGAACCACAGGGGGACAGAGTGGAGGAGACCAGGACCACGGGGTCACAGAGGTACACAGTGTCACACAGACCAGAGGAGAAGCCACGTGCAGACGGAGGCAGAGACTGGAGTGACCGGCCACCAGCCCGGGCGCCTGGAGCGCACCGTGCCTGCATCCCACCGCTCCTGGTTCTGCTCCTTTCTGCTTCCTTCAGGGGCGTCTGGGAAGCGCCTGAGACSCTGGTGGGTCCTGAGACCTCACCTGTGACGCTCCCCCAGATGACCATGTCCACCCCGGGTGGACCCGACTGCAGGGAGGGGCCTGAGCTCCRGAGGTCTGGGGTGCGGGAGGCCCCAATTGGAGTTTTGAGGCCAAAGGAGGCGGAGCCCAAGCTGCCAATCAGCGTCTGCGAGGTCCCCTGCCCAGGCCCCAGCCCCTCCGCGGGGTCCCCTGCCCAGGCCCCGGGCCCCTCTGCAGCGCCCGTCTGTGCCCATTCTCTGGTCACGTGGTTTCCAGCGCCCTGTCCTCCTCCCATCCCCCACGTCCAGTTAGGAGACTCCCTGGCACCCGGCTCTGTCCCCTCCGAGGACAGGCCAGCTCTGAGCCGTCCCTGCCCTCCCGGGTCCCCTGCCCCTCAGCGGTTACCTGTGCAACAGGAAGCAGAGGACCAGGGCGCAGACGAGGGTCCCCAGGACCACAAGCAGGTAGACGTGCACGAGGCCGCCCTCCTGTCCCCCGGAGCCTGCGGGGACACGGCCCGGCTGTCCGTCACGGCGGTGCCCAGAGGCGCCCTCGGGYCTGGCTGGCCACCCAGGGCGGGAGGGGACCCAGGACAGAGGTCCCCACCTGGCCCCAGGTGGCCCGGGGTCTGCGTAGCCGGACCTTCCTCCCGGAGCCCGGCCACCAGGGGGACCGTCCAGCGKGGTGACCGGGACCCGAGCAGGTGGGTAAGTGGACCCCTGTGCACAAGGTGAGTCCCAACGTGTCCTCGTGAGGGTATGTCCACGTAGGGGGACGGTGACCACGACCAGTGCTGCTGACCATTATTCACGTGATATGATAATCACTAATTAGTGTCGTTGATGATTATTCATATGATGTCATGATTATTAATTAGTACTGATTATTATTCATACGATAATTAATATTGATTAGCACGGTTGATTATTATTCATATGATATGATTATTATTAATTAGTACCGTTGATGATTATTCATATGATGTCACGATTATTAATTAGTACTGATTATTATTCATATGATATGATGATTACTAATTAGTACTGTGGATCATTATTCATATGATATAATGATCATTAATTAGTACTGATTATTATTCACATATGATAATTAGTAATTAGTACCGTGGATCATTATTCATATATGATATAATTACTACTAATTAGTACCRTTGATTATTATTCATATGATATGATGATTACTGATTAGTACTGTGGATTATTATTCATATGATATAGATAATTATTGATTATTGCTGATTATTATTCATATGACATAATGATCATCAATTAGTGCTGATTATTATTCATATATGATAATTAGTAATTAGTACCGTGGATCATTATTCATTTATAATTACTACTAATTAGTACTGTTGATTATTATTCATATGATATGATGATTACTAATTAGTACTGTGGATTATTATTCATATGATATAGATAATTATTGATTATTGCTGATTATTATTCATATGATATAATGATCATTAATTAGTACTGATCATTATTCATATATGGTAATTACTAATTAGTACTGTGGATCATTATTCATATGATRTAATTACTACTAATTAGTACTGTTGATCATTATTCATATATGACAATTATTGTTGATCATTCATATAGTAATTATTATTCATTATTGTTGTTGATTATTATTCATGTAGTATAATGATTATTGATTATTATTATTCATATAATAGAATAGTTTTATTGATTATTATTGTTGATTATTATTCATGTGACATAATGATTATTATTAATATTGTTGATTATTCATATAGCATGATTATCATTATTGTTGATCATTATTCATATAATAATTATCATTTTCATTAATTATTATAGTTGATTACATTCATATACTAATAATAATTATTGCTGTTGATTGCTATTCGTATACTAATAATTATTATTGTTGATTATTATTCATATAATAATAATTGTTATTAATTATTATTGTTGATTATCATTCATATAATTATGATTATTGTTAACCATTCTTGTTAATTGTCATTTCTATAGTATAATGATAATTATCAATTATTATGGATTATTATTCACACAATAGAATAGTTATTGATGATTATTGTGGATTATCATTGATATAATGATTATTATTAATTATTGTTGATTACTCATRTAACATAATAATCATTATTCGTTCTCATTGATTATCATTCATATAACATAATAAGTATTATTAATCATTGTTGATTATTTTCATACAACATAATAATTATTATTGATTACTGTTGACTATTCGTATAGTATAATGATGATCATTAATCATCGTTGCTGATGACCATACGTATAATATAATGATACTTATTAATGATTGTTGATTATTATTCATATAATTGTAATAATTATTAATCATTGTGGATAATTCCTATAATATAATAATCATTAATCATTATAGTTCATTATTATTCATATAATAGAATGACATTATTATTGTGGGTTATTCATATGATCATTATTATTATTGATTATTGATTATAATTCACGTTAAATGATTATTATTATCACTATTGATTATTATTAGTAGTGATTATCATTAGTATTGATTATTATTATTACTATTGATTATTATTAGTAGTATTGATTATTATTATTACTATTGATTATTATTAGTAGTATTGATTATTATTATTACTATTGATTATTATTAGTAGTAGTGATTATTGTCATTATGTTGAGGCTGGGACCCACGGGGGCGAGTGCGGTACCGAGGTCCCTGTGACATGTTTTAATATTTGACAACATCTGGAGGCGGGTGGTCAGACTTTTTTTCTTTCTAACCAACAATGGAGCCCCGGGACCCTTATCCCCTGAGCCCTGTCCCCTCCCTGTCTGTCTGTTTTATTTAGGGACAGGGTCTTGCCAAGTTGCTCAGGGCCTCACTCAGTTACGGAGTCTGGCCTCCGACTCGCAATCCTCCAGCCTCAGCCTCCCGAGCCACTGGGATGCCAGGCGTGGGCCTCTGCGTCCGGCTGATTGTTTTTCTGTTTTATGTCGCAGCCCTGGACAGGGGACCCACGGCCTTGCGCATGCCACGCATTCRCTCCTCCAGTCCCAAGACCCTTCCCCCTGCCTGGGGACCCGCAGCGGTGACTGAGTGACCTGCCCGAGGGGGACCCGCGGATGCATCCTGGCGGGTGCAGGGCTTGGGCTGCAGGAGGGGCTTAAGGAGTGCCCTCTTGGGTCGCGGAGGGAGCCCAGCCTCTGCTGTGACTGGACACCCTGAGTCTGTGCCAGGTCCAGGGACCTCCTAGGAGCAGGCAGAGGTCACCCGGGGRTCTCCCGTGCACACAGCGCGCCCTGACCCTGCGCCCTGGCCGTGCGCCCTGCCCTCGGGGCTTACCAAACTCCACGGGGTGGCTCCAGTGACCCCAGGGTCCCCCGCGGGAGTCCGCGGCTCTGATCCTCAGRCTGTGTGGGCCTCTGGGCTCCGGGCTGGGCAGGTGGTACAGGTTGTGCACTTCCCCAGAGACGTTGATCTTTGGAGAGGGCACAGAGTTAGAGCTGGGGCCGTCGGCCTCGTGGAAAGAACGGGGGTTCCAAGCGCACTCTGTCCATCAGCCGTGGACACTGCAGGAGGAGGGGGGACTCCGCTCCGGATTCCAGACCACGGCGCCCCCAGGTGAGGAGCATATTGAGAAATAAAGTGCTCCGAATCTGTGGGTCCCTTTTGGGCAGATTCAACCCATTATTGGTCCCCCCCACCCACCAAATAATGACCGCTAGATGGACTCCCTTCCTCTAAATATGGACAGGGAAGTGACTCAAAGGAGCTAGCCCAGAGACAGCGGTGGACGTTTGTACCACCGAAGAGGACTCCGGGGTCACAGTGGTGCTGAGGATTGGGAAATACCGCACAGAAGGACTTGAGGGATCTACCTTTCCAGGTGTTTTGGAGGGAGCTACAGGGAGTGCTGTCCCCTCGGGGGACTCGAGGGCTCTGTGCACACATCTGGGCACAGAATCCCACCCATCCTGGCCACCGCTGGTGACGCTGGCTCTCAGGAAGGGTCCAGTTGGCCGACGACAGCGGACGTCCAACTCACCACTGAATTGTCACCGCCGGCTCTTTCCGTGTTCTAGGACAGAGGAGGGTGGACGGTTGGACACTTTCAAGGGCTTTCCCAGAGGGCTGACTGTCCACCTCGTATCTGGGTGGACTCGGGGGGACCACAGGTCTTGGCCATTCTGATCTTGCTCTGCCTCTCCACGTCTTCCCCACTCCCACGGTTGTCACTGTCCCCACACCTGGCTACCCGGCGCCCCCCTCGGCTGGTGGTCCACGCACGATGCCCCTGTCCATAGCCCCTGCTGGACCTCCTGCAGTTCCTAGGGTCAGGGTCCCCGCCCATGWCCTGTCCCCGTGGGCGCTGACCTGTGTCCGGATGCCCAGCTGATACTGGAAGTCCAGGTAGGTCAGGTACGTCTTGGTCCTGGGCTGGTTCCACTGGAGGACACAGTGAGACGTGTTGCACTGGACGCTGATGTTGTCCGGGGGACTGATCTGCTCTGTGAGGGACAGTCGGGCACCTCGGTACCTGAGTGAGCTGCGCCCCTGTCACCTCCCCACCAGGGAGGGGAGGCCGAGCGCCACCTGCCCACCACCGATGGTCAACACCTGGAGCTCCGGGGGATGGTCCTGAGGACCCCCGGGGGCTCCGAGCTCATCCCCAGGGGCCAGTAAGGTGGCTGCGGGGGTCAGGGTCAGGGTCAGGGTTGGGGTTCGGGCATAAAGTTAGGGTTAGGATTGGAGTGAGGGTCGGGGTGAGGTTTAAGGTAGACAGATGACCACTTGGCATCTGTGGGAAGGTGCCCAGTCTCCCCCATGGTTAGAGAAGGAGGCATGTGGTGGCCTTTGGTGGCATCTGAGCCTATTTTTCAGATATGAACAGGGAGCAAGTGTTCCTGTGAACCTGACGGGCATTTCCCAATTGGGTTCGAAAGAAGGAATCTCCTTCAAATCAAAGGGACGTCCATAGTGGGGGGAGGAGAGGGTCGAGCAAGTGCCCGGGAGGGACACTGGCCAAATTTTGTCATTGTGTCGTGTGCGTGTATGAATACGTAGCAGTTAATCCCACCTATAGGTGCCACTCTAATTCACCTATACAAAATCTGGGGGGAAAAAAAAGTCAGGCTTGGATGACCCTCAAGGATGAACGTGAGAACAATCTCTCCCTCCCTATCCTGGATCCAAGTAGCCTCAGTTCCTTTCTAGACACATCAACTCAAGAGCCCCAAGGGCTCTGTGGAGGCCCTCTTCTGGCAGAGAAAGGGAYCCCAATCTGGTGACAACTTTGTTTCCATATTTCTCTAGACCTCTAGCCCCCGCCACGGCCAAACCCACCCCAGGCTCTGCCCTCACCCATCTCCCTTGTCGACAGAATCAAATCAAAGAACCGGATCTCCGTCCCCCGGCTGGTCCCGTTCACCAGGAAGAAAGTTCTGTACTTCAACTTGGAGATGTCTCGCAGGTGGCAACCCCTGTGGGTCCCCGAGTCTTGTACGTAATGGGGACATTCGGTTTCATCACTTTCACTGTTAGCTCTCAAGAAAGAAAAGAAAGAAAGAAAAAAGAAATTGGCATTTTTTTTTCTGCCCTCCTGGCGTCCGGCCACGATCCCGCCGACGACATCCGTGCTTACTTCAACTGTCGCAGGTACAGAAAATACTGGACGTCGCTGGGGGCCGCAGGGCCCGGCGCCCAGGTGCAGTTCATGAAGGCCGCGTTGTAGATGGCGCACGAGAAGTTCCGGGCGGCGGTGCCCTCTGCACCTGGGAAGAGGGGCTCGGCGTCATTTTCTCCCCAGGGTGGCGGCATGGGGGACAGGGGGGTCCCCACGCGGTCTGCCCACCTGGGTTGGTGAAGGGCAGCTCCTCCTGCACCGGGGCCCCGTCCACGGTGGTGCTGACCTTCAGCGTGGCGCCTCCGTGCAGGGGGACCCTGGTAAAGGTGCACTGGCAGGACTCGGCCTCGGCCTAATCAGAGACGGCAACCCAAGTCCCCTGTCGTGGGGCGTCCCTGGGGTGTGTCCCTCCCTGCACCCGGGACGCCCGTCTGCCATCTCCTGAGGAGCCCGGACAGGAGGGCCGCTTGGTCTTCCCTGAAAAGCTGACCCCTGGTTCCTTGCTCAGGATTAGGTCCACCAAGAAGCTGGGGTTCTGGGCTGTAGGGGGGCGCCTCTAAACACCATCCACCTGCAGGGGGCGCCCTTAACCACCTCCCACCTGCAGGGGGCCCCCTAACCACCTCCCACCTGCAGGAGATGCCCCTAACCACCACCCACCTGCAGGGGGCGCTGCTAACCACACCCACCTGCAGGGGGCCCCCTAACCACCTCCCACCTGCAGGAGATGCCCCTGACCACCTCCCACCTGCAGGGGGCCCCCTAACCACCTCCCACCTGCAGGGGGCGCCCCTGACCACCACCCACCTGCAGGGGGCGCCCCTGACCACCACCCACCTGCAGGGGCGCCCTAACCACCCCCCCAGCCCCTGGTGGCCTCCTCACATTAACTTTAATGTCCCCCATTTCCCTGTGACCCAGGCGGCACGTGGCGCGGGTGGCGTTTTCCTGGCAGGTCCAGCGGAGCGTCATGGTCCTCGGGTCGAACTCCAGGGCGAGGCTGGGGGTGGGCGACGGCGACGGCGCATCTGCGGGGGATGCCCACAASTCAGTGACCTTGCCCCACGTCCCCCTGCCCTGCCCACACACTCTGCGTCTGCCAGGTGACCACTGCCGGGGCTGGTCCCCCAGGCCTGGACACTGCCGTGTCCTCAGGCGTCCCCTCTCCCTGGACGCTGCATCTCTCGGCCTCCGGAGCCCACGGCTCCGTCCACCTTCTGTTCCCCATGAGCKGCCCGCGCTCAGGTCCTCTGTCATAGTCACGGACAGGCACCACCCGGCCACGGGGTCCCCGCAGGACTGACCAGGCGCCAGCTGGATCCTGGGCTGGTCACTGCAGGTGGGGGTCCTGTCAGTGCTGGCCACTGGCCACTGGCCACCCCACCCCTCACTCAGTTGGCCCAATCTGTGCCTGGTTTGCTCCCTCGGGCTCTGGGGCATCTCCTAAGTCTCGCGGGTGGACAGGCAGGGCTCGGTGGCCTCCTGTTCCTTGACCCTGCCGGGATGTGTGTCCTGTTGCCCAGGCGCAGCTGGACAGACCCCCCTCACCCTCGGGTTCTGCAAAAGCCACTCAGGTGCGGAAGTGGGGACTCGGCCTCATGATAAAGTGACCTCAGAGGACGTGAGACCAAGGGGTAGGTGTCCACCCAGCGGGTCACTGACCCCTCCTTTTGCAGCCGGGTCCAGGTGTCCACCTCCTTTTGCAGCCGGGTCTGGAAGGGGGATCCAAAGGCCACCAGCCCCACCTACTGGCCAGAGGTGGAGACGTCCTCCCCGTCCGTCTTTCCAAACCCTGCAGCACCCGCGCAACTGGACTGCAGCTAGGGGTCACCAGGTCACCAAGGCAGGTAGGGGACAGATGAAGCAACCGACACCCGGCTGTGGCTGCGTCCCCAGACGCCTAAACGGGAGCCAAGGAAAAGGGACAGTCAAGTCCCCACACTCACCCGTCAGCTCCTGGGTCAGGAGGGAGGACTGTCCAGGCGACCCAGAGAGGACAAGGACGCAGATGGCCACCAGCAGGCTCTCGGGGCCGCCCGAGGGAGCGCAGGGCACTGGGGAGACATAGCCGCAGGGTGAAGAAACGTGCTGCACTTTGATTTTTTTTTTTTTTTTTAGTGCTAAATTGATTTTCCTCGGGTTGTTTGTCACAGCAACAGAAAGAGCGAAAATTCAGGTCATGGCTGATSACGCAGACGGTGTGTGGGACCCTCATCCCCTGCCCACGTAGGGTCGGGACATGGAAATCTCTGGGGACATTACTCTGTGTCCCTCCCGGGTGGGTGGCTTCTCCTTTCCTCAGCATCCTCTTTCCAGGAAGCAGAAACAACAAAGGTCGGGCCGCACTCAATGGGTGGGGCTCCTGTCGCCGACTGACTGTCCTTGGYATCCCTCCGCCGCCCTGGTGTGGCCGGAGGCTGCACGTCCAGGAGGACCTGGGAGCCCCATGGACACGGACTCCGACTCTCCTGCGGGGGATTCTCATGGCTTTTCCCGCCCTTCACAGTGGACTTTGGAGTTGAACCAGAAATGAGAGCCAGAATCTTAATTTTTTTTAAAAAAAAATTCTCTTTTTCTTTAGATTTTTTTCAGGTTTTAAATGATTTTCCCCTTTGCACAAGACCAAAGTGAAAGAAATCCTACGGGATCCAAACGGGGGACATCATCGATCAATAATATCTGTATTCTGGGCTCGGGGAGGCCGAGGCAGGAGGATGGCGAGTTCAAAGCCAGCCTCAGCCAAAGGGAGGCCCTAAGCAGCTCAGGGAGACCCTGTCCCTAAATAAAATGCCAAATAGGGCTGGGGACGGGGACTCAGGGGTCCAGTGTCCAGGAGGTCCATCCCTGGTACCAAAAAAAATATAATTTTATTTCACAAAATASAGAAGACTTGGCTCATTTTTCAGAGAGAAAACATATGAAATTACTCCGTTTTCAAATAAAATATTAAATAAAAAACTACGGGTGCCGACTGGGCACGGTGAYGAGCACCTGTGATCCCGGGGACTCAGGAGGCTGAGGCAGGAGGCTTGCAAATGGGAGGCCAGCCTCAGCAACTCAGCAAGACTCTGTCTCAAAATTCAAATAAATAAAGACATAAAAGGGGCTGGGGACGAGGCTCGGTGGCCCAGCACCCGGGGCACAAACCACGGGAAAGCGTCAGCCCCCAGGGTGGCCGGACCTCAGGCCCTGCCCCTCCCCCATGCAGAGGGGCCCCCGGGGTCAGCAGGAGCCGCTGTCCAGCCTGACCCCTCTGCGCCCAGCCCTGCACCCACAGCCCGGCCGACGCCTGTGACCCTCATTTTTTTTTTTGAGTTTCGTCATAGAGAAAAGAGTAACCGAAAGAGAAAAGGGGAACCAGCGGGTGGCCCCGGGGACCGGACTGTCAGCCGCACACACGCTCACGGCAGAGGGAGAGCAGCCGGTGGCAGGGCGGCTCGTGGGCAGACTGCAAGGTGGACCGGGCGGCCAGAGGCTGGCCTGGGTCAGGGTGCAGCTGCTGGACGCCCTTGGACTCGGGGGCCGGGAGCTCTGTCCCTCCCTCCTCCCTCCATGTCACCCTGCTCCCTGCCCCTCCCCCTGCTGACCCCTGCGTCCAGCTCCTGTCCAGGCTCA